CCATTCGCATTCAGTGGGCAGTTAGAGGAGCACAGTGGAGGCTGAAGTTGTACCATCAACATACATCCACCGCAGGTGCTCAAGGAGAGGCAGTCTAGGTCTACAGATGCTATGAGGGGACTCAGCTCAGGCCCTCCCAGTCCCAGGGCTTCCCAACATTGCCAGCCCAAACCCTCAGGTGATCCTCACCCAAGCTGGTCACCCAGATGGACTAAATAGAGCCCTGAGAGATGGCAGAAGTTTCGCACCAAGCATCAGACATCGACATTTGCCAACCATGAGGAAGGTTAAAGAGGAGTTGGTGTGTGATGTTAGAGCATGCACAAAAGCACTCTGATCAGGGCAAGACAACTAACACCCGCCTCGGGGGTTAATACAAGAGACAGAGACAAACAGAAGATGACTTTGTAGTTTCTGCAGGTTAATATCAGCGTCATGAGCAAAGACTTCATTCCACAGCACAGGTGAAGTATACAACACGAACGTTCGTGCGTTTTAATATATATAAACAAGCTTATCCTGACTGCATTCCCACAGTCTCTCTCAGGAGATGAGGAGGAAACAGACCCTTAAACCTTGAGAACACTTGTTTTACGTTGAAAATCCTTTACCAGAAAGTTTCAAACCAAGGAGCACTAACTACATGGGAATTGCAGTTCACATTCCGGTGCCCAGCCTGGGTCATGCTCCTCATCCCTCGCACTCTCTGCTGAGGCTGCCGACAGAGCTGACAGATTTGGGAGGAGGATTTTGGAATGCGACTTTAAACTGAGGGCATCAAAGAACCAGCCCTCATAATCCCAAAACCTGCGGAAAAAAAATTCCTACTCATGTCAGCAGAAGGTGCAAGTTAACAGCAGCACTCAGAAACAGAGTTAAAGCTCAACACCAAATGATGCTCTCTCTGACTAGGATTGTGTGCACAACAGACATCAGACAAAATGGGGCAATAACCCTTCCCAGGAGACTGCTAGAGCCAGAACAGAAGCCTGCTGAGGACATAAGTCATTTGGGGAAAAAATTGGGGAGCAGAACTGGATTTTGAATCCGTTTCTCATCTCTCTGTAGGATTTTCCACACACTAGTATTCTCACAGTGTCGCGTCTGACTGGAGCGACAGCTGAGTCAATAATTCAGCATGTCTCTAAAACCTCATCATCACATATCAGCTGAGGAAAAAAAGGGCCTGTACCATCTCCAAACCAATTTGGCAGCTGGAACTCTGCTGAGAGAGAGTGTTTGTGGGAGAATGCAGCGGCAAAGCTTACTGGCAGAATAGCTGTTAAACTCCCCATGCTGGCAGTACAGAGAGGGGGACAGGTTTTAAATAACCAGGATATCCTGTCCCCAGCCCCTACTGTTGACACAGCTGGCCATGTCTGAGCGTGTGCTACAAATAACGCAGCGTGCCCAACCAAAACTGCAATGGCGAGAGCGGCAGGTCGGATGAAGTCTGTCTCTAGACCAGTTTATGTTGTAACACCACCAGGACTGCCCCCCCCTGCCTCCCACCTCTCCCTTATCTCCATCGAATGCTTTATTTCTAGCTTTTCATTTAGGGATCATATTTCATTCCATTAAGTCACCCCCTGGCCTAGGTATAATTAAGAAAAAACTAAGATATCAGCAAAGTACTTTGGAGTTTTGATTTGCAACTCCTGCTCTGATCTTTAGGCCACACTCCCGTTTACGAAATTGAATCCATTTTATGAAATGGGCTGAAAAGTTGAAAGAATTAGGAAAATGGATCCATTTTATGAAATGGGCTGAATAAGTTGAAAGAATTCCTAATAATATTTTCTTCCTGTTACCACCCACAACTAAGCTACCAAAAAAACCCCACCCCAAAACCTCCAAACTCTACACTTTTTGCAATCCAGAGGCCTTTTTATCTTTCTCTCGGAACGAATGAGTTATTGTTGCCTCCAAGAGTTTTTCAAGGGGATAAGGTGATCCAGAAATTTCTAAAATCCTCCTCCAAGCCCGGCACGCCTGCAAAGCTGATCAGTTGACAGCACCACATCCCTTCTGACAGTGATACTCACTGCCTGTATCGTCTAGAAAATCAGACTGGTTGCAGAATCTCTGCCTTTAGAGGTTTTTCAGCTGCCCAAAGCTACAGCTCATCTCACCTACTGTCACAGAAGACTTGCTTCAAGCAAAAGGGTGGACTAAATGACGCCCAGAGATCCCCTGCAGCCAACATCCTACAACTTCATGGAAACTGAGGGGAAGAGGTCCCTGTCAACAGAGAACTTTCTGCCTGAGGCTCCTGCAGTCACCAGGCTACTCTTCCCGCTCGCGGATCCAAACCACTCTTCCCTGCCTCACTTGGCTTTCAGCAATTGCAGTTTTGAAGTGGGCTTTGCCACTGGGTACCCCCTTGATTTGGGCAGCTCACCAGAAATATCCCAAACGCGCACAGTCTGATCCAAGCTGGCTGACACTACCAGGTCCTCAGAGGGGTGAAACTGGGCACACATCACATAGTGGTTGTGTCCTGTCAGCACACTACAACAAAAAGGACAGAAAATACCATTTAAACATCAGATATATTAAGACACGTTCCAATTTGCAGCAACATCAACAAGCTCAGTCTCAGGAAGGATGATGAGGAATATAGGATTGCTAAATGCTGCTCTTCAAGATTTAGCATGACTGAACACCGAGTGCATCTGTTCTTGCAGAGAGCCTTCAAGGGCCGGCTTTCCAACATCAGTGCTTCAGCAACTGACGCGTTGTTATTTTAATCTGCAAAAATTTTCAACCAAACAACTTGTGAATTAATGAATACAAGTCTAGCAGCATCGGAATAAATAAGCAAAAAATGACGGAAATATTAATAACCGATCAGTTTGTCAGTTCTATTCCTTCAACTGAGCACAGCTTCTGCTTGAAAACAACAGGTGAAGACAGCTCACCCCCAAACCATGCCGTTATTTTTTTTTTTAAAGCAACCATTGATTTTACCAAACACAAGTTCTGGACTGCCAGTTCCAAACCCGAATGGTCTGGTCATCAGAAGCACTCAAGATCCAGGGATATTCCTGAAAAGACAAAGCAGTCTGTGTATGAAGTAATCACACCCCAGACATTCCTTTCCCACCTGATATTTTCCAACTGTCCCCAGGAATGACCCCTTTTAAATCTCATTTAAGATCTTGGAGGCAGAATTTATGCCTCTTACACCTCTACAGAAGGCCACCACATCTGGAGCACCCTCATACCAGCAAGTCCAGCACAATTTCTTTAGCAAAGATTCCCATCCTGGGAAACAAAAGAGATTCCTTTTCACACACAAAGGGAGCAGGCACCCGTCACTGGGGTAAGCGCAAGAGGAGCTTACGTGGTGGAAGAAGGTAGTGCGAATATAATCCAAGTGCCCGAGCAGAGTGAAGAGACAACGGCGCAATTTGTAATTCCAGACCTGCACAACACAGAAGCAGAACAGTGACAGCACGTGCCCCCGCCTGCTGAATTTTTTTTTAGGTGCATTCTCACATTTCCATCCACCTACAAGCCCCTCTCTTCTATTTTAAAACACGTTGCTAATGCAAGCAACAAAGAGACTTCAACTCGCTGCAGTTAACTCTGCAACAACCGCAATTCCCAAACGCTATTTCCCACCCGCCCACGCTCTTTCTCATCTTTTAACCGGTTTCTTCACACATTCCCTTCCCTTGATGATGCCTTTTAGAGAACGAGTGGTAAAGGGCTAAGATTTTACCTTTATTTTGTAGTCATCACCTCCAGAAACAAAGAGAGGCTGCTGTTTGTGGAAATCAATACCTCGAACGGGTCCTACAAATAGGAAGAGGAGGTTGGACACAGCAAGATGCCCAATGGCCGGGGCAGTCCCTTGTCCTACTTAAAGACTACAACTTGCATTCCTCCTCACTCCTCTTGCTATTGATAAATTAAAAGCCTCAAAGCAACACTAGAAAGTCAGGTAACTGTCCGAGACCCCATTACCAAACCCGTTCCTTTCCATCAAGACACCCGCAGCAACCCATCACAAAACATCCAGGCCCTTCAGATCTGTATTTACAGCTTCATTTCCATACCAGAACCAAAACCGCTACCCCGCTCTGTGGATGCACAAGCCATGCTCACCCTGGCCACAAAGAAACCCAGGCTAAAATAGAGAGGAGCTGAAGTCAAACAGGCAGAAGCCTCAGCATCACTTCAGCAGAGCCTCCCTTCCTCCCCTCGCACCCCAGTCTTCCTCCACAAGCAGGGCCCAACCCCCCCCAGCCCACTGACCGTCGTGCTCGTCGAATTTGTCGATAAGGGTGCACATCCGATAATCCCACAGCTGGATGACGCCATTGTGCAGGCTGGTGAGGATCCACGGCCGCTTGGGGTGAAAGCTGAGCCCTGCCGAGGCACAGGGACGTGACCGCGAGGCCTCCGCGCACTTGGGAGCCCAGAGGCCCGGAGCAGCCCCGGGGGAGCC